GTGTGTGTGTTTGTGTTAGAGTTTGTGGGCATGTGATGTATTAGTGTGTTGTGCTGTGTGTGTGTGTGAGTCGGGTTTGTGGATATGTGTATTTGTGTGTTGGTGGGTGGGGATGGGTCAGGGCGTGTGTGTGAATATGCGTGTGTGATGGTGTTAAAGTGCGTGTGAGTTAGAGTTTGTGGGCGTGTGGTGTATTAGTGTGTTGTGTGGTGTGTGTGAGCCGGGTTTGGTTGTGGATATGTGTGTTTGTGTGTTGGTGTGTGTGTTAGCGTTTGTGGGCATGTGGTGTATTAGTGTGGTGGGGTGTGTGTGAGTTGTGTTTGTGGATATGTGTATTTGTGTGTTGGCGTGTGTGTGGGTGTGTGGTGTATTAGTGTGTTGGTGTGTTGAGGAGGTGGCTGGGGGTGTTGGCCTGTGTCCCCCCGCTGGACTTGTGCCCACAAACCCCTTTCTCGCGCCGTCTCTCAGGGCCGGGCAGGGGGTGCTGGCCTGGGCCAGGGGCCGGGGCTGGCGCCGGGACGGGGCTGTAGTTCTGGGCGCTGCCAGGGGCAGAGTCCCAGGCCCACGTCTCTGTTTGCTCCCTTCACGCCCCAGAGCCCCGAACGGGGGGGGGAAAATTTGCCCTGGGGGCAGGATTAGTCCCTAATCCAGACTCTGCCCCCCACGCTGCCCCCCCCTCCGCTCCCGGGTGTGCAGTTTATTTATAACCCAGCAGCTCCCGGTGTGTCACATCCTCCCCAGGGGCAGGGGGCATTCGCAGTGTTACGCCGCCCGGCGGGGGTGGGGGGGCGCCGAGCGCTGGCTCTTCTCCGCCCGAAGGGTGGACGGGCACGGAGGCACCACCCGGAGGCATCCTGGGGCTCGGCTGCCCTGGGAGCGACCGGAGCCGTGCGCCTGGCGGGACCCAGTGCTTGGCGGGGACCCTGCTGCCTGGCCGGGGGGTAGGTCACGCCCAGAGGCTCGTGGGAGGCGCTGGGCCTGGCTCAGTTCGCCGTGAGTGGAGAGCGGGGCCAGGGCGGCCCAGGGGGGAATGGGCCCGGGGCAAGGAGAGCTCGGCGGGGCGGGGCGAACGGCGTGTCGGACGGCGGGAGCGGGTGCCCAGCTCGAGACACCTGGGGGCCTGGCTCCCAGGCAGCGTCTCCGCCTGGTGCCCCCGGGAAGGGCAAGGGCTGCGCTTCCTTGCTCGGCTGGTTTGGTGCCCCCCTGCCATGCCACTGCCATTCCTGGGCCAGCTGGGCTGGGCACGGCATGCACCCCTCCCCACCCCTGTACCGACCCCCCACCACGTACCCCCACCCCGCTCAGCCAGGAACATACGCCCCCGAGGAGGCTGGGCCGAGGGGGGAGCCAGGTGGGTCTCGGCCGGCAGTGGCCCCTCCCCATACATTGGTTATGAGGGAAAGTGGGCCAGGAGTTTCCCAGGTCCCTGAACCTCAGGGCTGGGGGTCCTGAGCCCTGGGGCTTTTCATGGCAGCTGCAGGCTGGGCCAGGGAGGGAGGAGTGGGCCAGGGACGTGGGGTCCTCGCACAGGGTGGTGAAGGGTCGGTCAGGGATGCAGGCGACCTGGATTCTGCTGCAGACCCTTCCCGGGCCAGTCACTGCCGATGGCACAAAAACTAGGGGAGAGAGAAACAAGGCAGAGCCCGGGTGACTGGCACAGAGCGATGCGGATCTCCTGGCAAGCTGCGCCCAGGTGAACTCTGCGTTTTAATGCCGCCGAACGCAAACGTAGATGGCTAGGAACAGAGGACGGCCGCCGAACGCCTGCCCTGACAGGGGAGGGGATGCTGCCTGGCGAGCAGGGACCCTGACAAAGGTTTAGGGGTCGTGGTGAGGAATCAGCTGGACACGAGCTCCCAGCGCATGTGACCCTAGGATGCAGAAAAGGGAATCTCCTGCAGGAGCAGAGAGGTGATTTCCCCCGTGTTTGGCCCTGGTGCGACGCTGCTGGGAGCCTGGGGCCGGTTCTGGGGCCCGCTGGTGGATTGGGGGGTCAGAGAAGAGCCAGGAGAACGACCGCCGGGTTCGAAAGCTCCTGGGAGCGACAGAGGCCAGGAGCTCCGGCTGCTTAGCTGAGCACAGATAGTTCAGGGGTGACTTGATCCCAGCCTGTCGCTGCCCACAGGGGAACAAACGTCCCAGAGGGAGGTCGGACGAGCCGCTGGCTGGAACTTGAAGCGAGATAGATTCAGCCAGGAAGTACGGGGTAGGTTTAGGGTAATTAACCCCTGGAGCAACTTACCAGGGGGGTGGGGGATTCTCCAGCACTGGCCATTTGGAAATCAAGGGAGGCTGTTTTCTAAGAGCGCCGCTCTAGAGATCCCCTGGGGCAGGTCTCTGGCTTGTGTTATACCCGGGTCAAGGGGTGCCAGACCAGCTGGTCACAGTGGAACCTTCTGGCCTTGGAACCTGGGAATCTCTCTGGGCCTTTGTTCCCTGCCCATAAAACAGGGGCAATGAGTCTGCCTTGTCTGTGAGGGTGGTTGTGAGCTCTTCAGTAGAGACAGTCTGTGTCTGGGCATTGCCTGGCCCAATGGGGCCCCGATCTCGGCCGGGGTCTGTGCATTGCCCGGTGCGACAAGGCCCTGATCTCGGTCGAGGTCTGGGCAGTACCTGGCCCAACGGGGCTCCGATCTCGGCCGGGGTCTGGACGGCGCCCGGCCCGACGGGGCCCCGATCTCGGCCGGGGTCTGGGCGGCGCCCGGCCCGACGGGGCCCTGGGGCTTTGCTGGGATGATGGTCCAGGTGACATGGGCTGGAGCATAACAGGCCATGGCTCAGGGAACGCAGCTCTCACCAGGCAGCGCTGTGCTGTCCTGTGGCTGCCCATGGCCAGGTTCCTGGCACTTTCCTTTGGAGCAGCTGGGACTGGCTGTGGTTGGAGGCAGGATACTGGCTGGTTCTTGTGCGCAGGGATCTCTGGCCCTTGGAAAGCCAAGGGGCTGCTCCAGGCCCCTGCTGCAGGCTGATGCTGGGCTGTGTGGACGCAGTTCTTGCACCAGGCAGGTCCAGTAGGTCTCAGAGTTGTCGGCTTCAGGGAAGGGCCCCCTGGTGAATCTGGTCCCATCTGCCCACCATCAGCCCCACCCCCGGGGTCCAGGTCTGGCCTCGATTTGACCTGGGGACAGGCGAGGGCAGCCCTGGGCAGGACGTGTCGCTGAATGAATCCGCTGCTCTGCTGGTGCCTGTTGCAGCTGGACGAGTCAGTGTGCTGTCTGCACAGGGGTGTTTCCTGCCGCTCAGTCACCGCCCGTTAGATGGCGCAGTCAGTGAGTCTAACCGCTAGCCCCCACTGCCCTCCCAGAGCTGGGGAGAGAACCCAGGAGTCCTGGCTCTCAGCCCCCCCCGCTCTAACCACTAGCCCCCACTCCTCTCTCAGAGCCGGGGAGAGAACCCAGGAGTCCTGGCTCTCAGCCCCCCCTGCTCTAACCACTAGCCCCCGCTGTGCCGTCCCCAGCCCTACTGCACAAAGGCTGGGAGGGAGCGGGCTGGGCCAGTCCCAGGCACCAGCCCTGAGCTCCGCCCCAAGCCCCTGTGTTTAGCCAGGAGTGAGAGGAAGAGCTGGTGCCCCGTGGCTGCCCTGCTGTCCCCCGAGGTCAGCGCAGAGATTGGGGGGGGGGGGCAGGGCCGTTTCCTCCCCATTAATCTGTCCCGCTGGGTCCATTCCTGGCAGGAAGTGGAGGCAGCGCGGCCATTTATGGTAACAAAACTAGGGACTGGCTCGGGAGTGAGAGCAGGATGGAAGGAGCCCGGCAGCAGGGCGGCCAGGCCCCCGGGGAGATGTGTGTGCACACTCGCACATGTGCACACGCACTCACACAGACACAGGCACACTCACATGCATGAACACACACGCACATGTGCACACGCACTCACACACACACAGGCACACTCACATGCATGCACTCACACGCACACACTCACGTGCACACACGTGTGCACTCACACATACACACCCCAGTTGAAGGCTCTTGGAAAGCTGCCCCAGGGAGCCCTGTGGGGCCCGGGTTGACGTGATGCCCGTGGATTGGTCCAGGTGCCCGTGGGAAGGATCCCGCTGGCTGCCCAGCGCCCTGACATTGGGGTTCCTGGGCTGGGGGGGCTCCAGTTGCCCTGCCATGGTCTGAACTGTAGCCTTGGGCTGAGCAAAGCTCCCCCCGCTTACAGCCCCCAGAACATGGCTCTGTCCTCCTGGCCTGGGGTTCACCGTCCGCCTCTGCCCGGGGCTGGGAGCTCCCTTCAGAGACCGGACTTGGGTCCAGAAGCAGGCGCTGGGGGTGATCAGAGCCCTGAGCAGAGCCCAGCTGTCCCGGCAGCCCCACTGCCCAGCGTTCCCTGGTCGCTCCTGGCCCCTTGGCGACGCCAGCCGGAGCCTCGTGCCGCGCCGCAGAACTGGAACAGGGCCTGACCCCCCGTGGGCAGTGCTGCATGTTCCCGGGCAGGGCAGGGAGCTGCTGGTGGGATGGGGGGGAGGGTACACACGGTGCCGGGAGCTTTGTGTGCGTATGCACGTGGCTGTCACGTATGTGTGGTGTACCTGTCTGGGTGCAGGCCCGTGGTGGTTAGGCCTGGGTGTGCATATGCATGTGGTGGTTGTGTGTGCACTTGTGTGTGTGCACTTGTGCACATGAGTGGTTGTGTACACGTGGGTGTTGTGTGTACATCATTGCGGTGTGTGTGGGTGTTTGCACACGCGAAGCTGCTGCTAACCCCCCCCACCGAGGGCACAGGAAGTTCTCGTTGGGGCTGGGGTTGCGCCGTAGTCCTGTCCCTGAGACCCCACAACGCCAGGTCTCGGCTCTGCAAGTCCCAGCCCCTCCTCCTGCCTTTGCCCGTCCCTGGGGGAATCCAGCCTCAGCCCCCGCCCTGCACTCCCTGCCATGTGGTTCACAAACACCCCACCCCCAGGCTGGGTGCCCCAGACCCCAGGGGGCGTGTGGACAGTCAGCGCCGTGGCCCCCCCGGTGACGCTCCCTGCTCTGGCTGTTACAGGTGGAGATGCTGCCCCCCGCGGCCGGCTGAGGGGGCGGAGAGGGCGGCCGGTCACCCCGACACCGGGATTCTGAGTTGCTGTGCCGACCGGGGGTGCCTGCGCACGGCTGCAGGGAGGCAGTGGCTGTTTGCTAAACCCCAGAGGAAGAGGACGTCCCGGGCCGGCCCTGCGGGCGACTTAGCTCCCAGCCGGGCACCAGGGAGCACCCGCCGGGCCCGGGGGACTGGTCCCCGGGGGCGCCTGCCAGGCCTCAGAGCCCCTAAGGGAGCAGGGGCCCCACCATGCCAGCCAAGACCCCCATCTACCTGAAGACCTCGACGCCGAAGCGGGGCCGGAAGCTGCGGCTGCGGGACGTGCTGTCGAGCGACATGATCAGCCCGCCGCTGGGGGACTTCCGGCACAGCGCCCACATCGGGCCGGAGGGCGAGGGGGACATGTTCGGGGAACTCTCCTTCCTGCAGGGCAAGTACGACCTGCTGCCCAGCCTGGGCCGCCGCCTGGCCTCGCAGAGCGCCCAGGCCGTGGGCCACGAGCCGGCCCGGGGCCCCGCCGCCAGCGGCTACCGCAGCCTGCTCAAGAGCGCCGTCTCCCTGCCCGTCTTCAGCGGGGCGCCCAGCCCGGAGCAGGCGCCCCCCAAGCCGCCCCGGCTGCACCTGGAGGAGCTGCCCAGCAGCCAGCGCTCCATGTCCGTGAGCTGCGGCGAGGGCTGTTTTCACAGCGGCCAGGGCCTGGCCTTCTCCTCCATCTCCCACTACGACCAGCTGCCCTCCTCCGTCTCCTTCTCCGCCGCCTCCTCTGAGGGCTCCTTCCCGGGCCCCTGGGGGCTGGGCTACGGCGCCCGGGCCGGCACGGACACCCAGCAGCCCCCGTACTCCCCCGGGGCCTCTGTCCCGCGCTCCGAGTCCCTGCTGGGGCTGGACCTGGACCTGGGCCCCTCCATCCTGGACGACGTGTTGCGGATCATGGAGGAGTACAAGCTGCCCAGCGCCAAGGCCCTGTAGAGCCGTCCCGGCAGCCCCCCCATGCGAGGGCGTGCTGCCCACTCAGAGAACGCCCTGACCTCTGTGCCGCCCACCGCCCCACGCTCCCGCCCTGGGCCCACGCGGGGCACGGCGGCTCTGGCCGCCTGGGCTCTGTGGGGAGCCTGCTGGGACTGGGGCACGGCTTAGCCCCTGACCCAGCGCGGCTCAGGAACTGGCCTCGGGCGTCGCCTGGCGGAGGAGAACACGGCGCATGGACGCTCCCTCCAGCTCTGCCTGTCCAGCAACAGCAGCTCGGCTTCAGGAAGTTTCAGGCCTTCAGCGCTCCCTGCCCGGCTCTGCCCCCGGGCGGGCTGGGCTCGGGGCCGGCGAGGATATGGGCTGAGCTGTGCGCCGAGCTGTGGGCCTCGCCCCTGGCTCCTCGTTCTGCGGCAGCCGGAGACTCGCGGGCCCCGTGGAACGGGCTGCACCGGCGGGGACGCTCCTGGCGCTTTGCTGCTGCGCCGGCCCGGATCCAGCCCTGGCCTGGGCCCCAGCTCGGGGCTGCGGGATCCTGCCCCACTGGGCACAGAGCCCATATTTAAACCCTAACACCCCACCCCCCAGCGTAACCGCAGACCCCTCCCCCCCATGTCCCTGCCTCCTGCCATGGGCCTTGGCTGGCCGCTGACCCTGGTGGGGGGCTCCCGTACGCTCTAGGGCCAGGGAGACCCCGTGTGATTCTCCACAGCGGGAAGATCTGGGCATGTCCCCCTCCCCCAGTCACTGCGGCAGCATCCTTACATCTGACCCCGCTCCCGCCGGGAGGGGCTGCCCCTGTCCAGCGCCCTCCCCCACGTCCCTGCGCACGAGGACTGGGGCCTGCCAGGGGGTGAGGTGGGAAAGGACGGGGAGGTTTGGTGGCCGGGAAGGGGACTGGGGAGAACGCACACGCGCGCGCACACACACTCGTACACTCCCTGCCCCCCCCCACACCCATACTCACATACCCCTACACACAAACTCACCCCCCCCACCCCTACACAGGGCTGCCAAGAGCGGGTTTGGGCCCTGGTGAAAAAAAAATTCGGGCCCCCCCAGCAAGGGCGGACCGGCTAAACAGGGCTGACGAGAGCGGGGGAAGCCGGGCCCCCTTCTGGACCGCCAGGCCCCGGTAATTTGTACCGGCTTCCCCCCCTCTCGTCGGCCCTGCCCCTACACACACTCACTCATACCGTTCTTGGGCTTGTTTGCTGCCAGCACCCAGCCGCTCCCGCATCTAAGCCAGCAGAGGCTGCGGCCCCTCCGGGGTGGCCAGGCTGAAGGACGGAGCGGTCCGGGGTAGCACACCTGGGGATCTGACACCAAACCTTCCTGCCCCCTTGGGAGGGGGCTGCCCCACAGCCACAGCTGGGCCCCCCAGGTTCTGCCCTGGGCCCCTGCAGCATCCTTGGCAAATCCCAGCTGGTGACGCCCGCCCCTCTCACCACAGACCTGGTGCTCCCTGCAGGCCTCAGCCTGCTGGCACGTGGCTTCACGTGGGATCGTCTGGCTTACGTCTAGTTCTGGCCCTTCAGCAGCTCCTGCCCCTTGGAGAACGGCTCCCGTCCTCCCCGCGTGAGCCCCCTGCAGCGCATCCCCCTGCGCCCATCACCGTGGCCTCTGAACCCCTCGCTCTCCTGCCACCTGGAGTCGTGTGTCAGCAATAAAAGTGTTTCGTCCCCGGCGCCTGCGTCCTGTGATGGAGCCCGGCCCTCATGGGCACCGCACGGCCAGCGAGTGACCCGGGCTCCCGACCGGCTGCGCCCGAACGGGTGGGACGCAGGGCAACCGCCGGCGTGGGCTCTGCCCCGGGTGTGCCCCAGCCCCACGGCTCTGCCTCCTCAGCAGCGAAACAGGCCAGAGCCCCCCCCAGAGGTGCCTGGGAAGGGGAGAGTCCCTCAGCCTGAGCGGGGCTCGAAACAGCCCCCCCCCCTCGCCGGGAGGGTCAGTTTCCCGGGGCTCTGTCCTGCTCTCTGGTTCGTCTCTGGGCCCCCATCGCTTTGCCCTCACAGCGCCGTGTGAGGCAGGGCCACACAGCTCCACAGAACCGGGACTTGGCCCAGGTCTCCAGAGTCCCGGGGCAGAGCCCTAACCACTGGGCCACCCTGCCTGTCCGCTCCGCGGAGTGCGCCCGACCTGATCGGCGGAGGGTTGAGTCTCGGGACCAGGCCTCGGTCCCCGTCACAGCTCCTGGGTGGTCACGCAGTCTAATGACACCGCTGACCCTGAGGGGCAGGGCTTGGCGCCCGGGGAGATGCCAGCATGGGGGCCTGGGGACAGGGAATCAGGCCCCATGAGCCACATTTTGCACCAAACTCCCAGGCCTGGGCTAGCCCCAAAGACACACCAGCGTCACCGACACTGATTCTTCTACAGCGGAGAACAGAACCCAGGAGTCTTGGCTCCCAGCCCGCCCTGCTCTAACCATCAGCCCCCACTCCCCTCCCAGAGCCGGGGAGAGAACCCAGGAGTTCTGGCTCCTGGCCCCATCCCTGGGAATTTGACCCACTCCGTTCCAGAGAGGGCGGTGAGTGTCACTGTGGGTGGCTGTTTGCCCTGGATGACCGGGGCCCTGGCATGCAGCGGGTGTGACAGGGCGCCCGGCCTGGCATTCCTCGCTGCCCAGCGCACAATCCGGCCCTTTCTGTGCGCTGCATTCGCTGGGGGCGGGCCACCTCCTTGTGACCGTGTGAATGAGTCTGGCCACTCCAGCGTCCCAGGCTCTGACGCACTCAGACGTGCCCTCGTGCACAGTGATGGCATGAGAGCCGTGCGCAGCTCACCACAGCCACAGGCCAGGCACTGCAGGGCTGACACCCCCCAAAGAGCCTGGGCTGTTAGCGTAGGGTCTCCCGTGCCCCCCGGGCTGCGCACACGGGGCTGTTGTTGTGGGGCCTGTTCCAGGCTGGTGACCCTTTCCGGGCAGTGGGGCTCAGCCTGGCCTGTGAGGGGGCAGCTGGCCCCCAGCTGATCCCGCCCTGAGCAGTAATTAGCAGTAACGAGCCCAGCTGCGGCAGGTTCCGTCGGGAGGGAGGCGAACGAGGGGAAGGGGTGAAGGAAGGGCCTGGGGAAGGGGCCGTAGGCCAGGCCGCCGGGGAGGCCGTGGGTCAGCCTGTGAGCAGCAGGGAGGCCGTGGGGCAGCCGGCTGGCAGGCAGGGCCCTGGGGAGCTGTACCCCACTGGGGAGCAAAGCGGGAGCCCTGCAGCCCCCAGGGGTGGGGTGACGAGCAGGGACCGGCAGCGTCGGCTGGGGGGGGCCTTGCTGGATCCGTCAGTTGGACGTTTGTTCTCCTGGGGCTGCCCCTGACCCGGCTGGGCCGCGGGACGTGTGAACAGAGACCGGCTGGCGGGGGGGTGCTGGAGGTGAGGACGCTGCTGTGCCAAGGGGGGCTCTGGGGGTGAGTGGAACAATATGTGGGCTCCCCTTTGTCTGGGCTGCAGGCCCGGGGCTGTTTTTGTAGGGTCTCCCCCGTTTGCTGCAGGCCCGGGGCTGTTATTCTGAGCAGAGCAGTGTGGGGCTGGGGTTCTCCCTCCGCAACCCAGCCCCCCCGGTGCTTTGCGCTGGCTCTGACCCAGCCGAGGAAGCTGCTGTCTGCTTCCCAGCGACTGTGTGGGGAGGGGGCTCCCCAGGAGGTACACAAACAGCGCCAGACTTGCCTTCTTGCCCCTTACAGAGAGTAACAGCAGCCCTGCCCCTGCCACTACCTGCCCCCCCGGTCCAACCCACTAGGCCCCACTCCCCTCCCAGAGCTGGGAGAGAACCCAGGAGTCCTGGCTCCCAGCCCCCCCTGCTCTAACCACTAGCCCCCACTCCCCTCCCAGAGCCAGGGAGGACCCAGGAGTCCTGGCTCCCGGCCCCCTGCTCTAACCAGTGCATGCTTGGGGCTGACGTGGGACTTTCTGCTCGGTCTCCCTCGTGTTGGCCCTGGGGGCGAGGGGGCGAGGGTCACCAGGCCGCTGTTTAACCCTGGGACGATTTAACAAACCCGCTGGGACCCAAAGCTCCAGAATGGCCCATTCCTGCCTGCTCCATCCGCACCCACAGACCCGTCCCCCCCCGGTACAAACTCCTGGGGCTTGGCAGAGACCCGGCCTGGCCGCCAGGGGGCAGGTGCCCCCTCGACTGGCTGCTGGGCTCCCGGACAGCGGCTTGCCCAATGCTGCGTGGGGGTGCCGGGCGTGGGAACCGCCTTGGGGACTGGACCCAGCAGCCCTCTCCCCACAGCACAGTGGGGACGCTGGGACTCGCCAGGGTCACGCCGGGCAGCTGGGAACATAACAATGAGGAAGGGCTGAGGCCCAGGAGAACAAGCCCCCCACTGTCCCCCCTTCACTGGGCCTTGGGCTTAGAGCAGGGGGGCCTGGGAGCCAGGATGCCTGGGTTCTCTCCCCGGCTCTGGGAGGGGAGTGGGGGCTAGTGGTTAGAGCAGGGGGGGGCTGAGAGCCAGGACTCATAGACTCATAGACTCATAGACTTAAAGGTCAGAAGGGACCAATATGGTCATCTAGTCTGACCTCCCGCATGATGCAGGCCACAAAAGCTGACCCCCCCTCTTTCCCTTGACTCAGCTGTTGAAGTCTCCAGATCGTGATCTAAAGACTTCAAGTCGCAGAGAATCTTCCAGCTTGCGACCCCTGCCCAATGCTGCGGAGGAAGGCGAAAAACCTCCAGGGCCACTGCCAATCTACCCTGGAGGAAAATTCCTTCCCGACCCCAAATATGGCGATCAGCAGAACCCCGAGCATACAGGCAAGATTCTCTAGCCAGACCCTCGTTTTACCAGCGATGGCCATTATTGCCTAATTGATTAGAATCACGTAATCCCATCAAACCATTCCCTCCATAAACTTATCTAGCCTAATCTTGAAGCCAGAGAGGTCTTTCGCCCCCACCGTTTCCCTCGGAAGGCTGTTCCAAAATTTCACCCCTCTGACGGTTAGAAACCTTCGTCTAATTTCAAGCCTAAATTTCCCCACGGCCAGTTTATATCCATTCGTTCTCGTGTCCACATTAGCACTGAGCTGAAATAATTCCTCTCCCTCCCTGGTATTTAGAACTCCTGGGTTCTCTCCCCGGCTCTGGGAGGGGAGTGGGGGCTAGTGGTTAGAGCAGGGGGGGCTGGGAGCCAGGATGCCTAGGTTCTCTCCCCGGCTCTGGGAGGGGAGTGGGGGCTGGTGGTTAGAGCAGGGGGGCTGGGAGCCAGGACTCCTGGGTTCTATCCCAGCTCTGGGAGGGGAGTGGGGGCTGGTGGTTAGAGCAGGAGGGGCTGGGAGCCAGGACTCCTGGGTTCTCTCCCTGACTTGGGGAGGGGAGTGGGGTCTAGTGGTTCCCCTGCCCATACCAGACTCTATTTCCCAGTGACACTTTATTATTTTAAGTCATTTCTTTCAGCCCCCTTCCTCTATTAGCAGTTTCCAGGGGGTGAAGGGGAAGCAGTACCCCAGTTCTGATCTACATTCCCCCTCCCCACCCCCTCACAGCAGACATGACAGATGGGTGCCTCCCCTGGCTCCATGCTGACCCCAGACCTGGCTGCAGGCTGGTGCCCTGGGGCTTACAGATGTGGGTTTAGATGCTCTGGGGATTTGGGATTCCTGCTGCAGCTGTCTCCAGCCTGCAGCTAGACAGGATCGCTTGGCAGAAGAGGGCTCCTTCCCCCTGCGGGACGGGGGGTTCTCAGCCCAACTGCTGCCGGGACACGGACCGAGCCCCCTTCCATCCACACAGACCCTAGCGCTCAGCACGGCCGGGGGTCAGACTACACCAGGGAGCTTATTATCCTGTGTGGGACGGTAGCACCTACCAGTCACGGACAAGATCAGGGCCCCGTCGGGCCAGGCACTGCCCAGACCCCAGCCGAGATCAGGGTCCCGTCGTGCCAGACGCTGCCCAGACCCCGGCCGAGATCAGGGCCCCGTTGCGCCAGAACCCCCTCACACACATCCCACAGCCCCACTCCCAGCTGCAAGGACCTCGGGCACCAGGACTTTGTCTCCCCGTAGACAGCCCCCGCAGCTGCCTTCTACCAAGGCGGTGAGAGCAGGGGAAGGACGAGTCCTGTCCAGAAGCTCCCAACACCGGGAGTCCCTGTAAATGGCTGATTTGTGCCAGCTGAGGGCCTGGGCCCACGGGGCTAACGTCCCCCCCAACCCCAAAGACAAGCCCCCGGGTGGGTTTCCGGCCCTAGGTGACCCTGCTGGAGCACGGGGCTTCCCCCCCCCCCCCCGCCGCCTGGTAGGCCCCCAGGGAGCAGGACACTCCCTACCCCGTGACTGCACCCAGCAGCGCCTGGCTCGCGGCACCCCGGGGATCCAGCAAGGGCCTGGCTCATGCTCGGCTGCCAGGAAAGCGCCGAGACGGGTCAGCCAGCCCAGAGCCAGCGGCCCTACAAGAGCTATTTGCTGCCAGTGTTTACAGGGAGGTATAAACACCGGATGGAGGACGACTGCCTGAGCCCCAGCCCCGCACGCCCCCAGCCAGAGCTGCTCAGGACGAAGGAGGGACCCCGAGCAGCGCACGGCAGGACCTGCTCCCCCGGCTGCTTTCACCCGTAGGGCAGGGGGTGCATCAGAGCAAGGACAGCATCCGTTCCACTCAGGCACCCCCAGCTGCGCCCCAGCATTCGCCTTCACCGCTGGCCCTGCTTTGTCACCGTGCAGCTGCTCGACCAGCTGCCACGTTACGGCCCAGAGGCGGCACCATCTCAGTGACGGAGCCAGGCTCCAGCTGGCAGTGAGGGGCCCAGCTGTGACCTTGGGGCTGGAGTCCTACCTTAGCCAGTGGCTCTGGGGGCCAGGCCCACCCGCCCGAGTGAATTGCACCCGGGGGGCTCCCAGGGGACGGCCCAACTTTTCCAGCTGGCCCTGGGTTCCAGGCAGGGCCACGCTCCAAGTCCCGCACGGGAGGCAGAAGGGGGAGCGTCCAGTCACGCCAAGTGCCCAGCAGCCGTGCCAGGGCGCAGCATTGCGGCTGCACGAAGCCGAGAGGGAGGCGAACGGCTCAGCTATGCCCCTGCCTCTGTCAGGGGGCCCTGCACTGGCCCTCTCCTACGGACTCTCCCTGCAGGAGCTTGGCTCCAGCCCCGCCCAGGAAGGGCTGGCACGAGCCCAGCGCTCTCCCCCAGCAAGCCGTCTGCAGGATGGATAGGACCACAGGGAATGCCCAGCACATGGCCAAATATGGAGCCGAGCGGGGCTGGCCTGACCCAGCGCTCAGCGGCCCAGCTGAACCCCAGAGGGCACCGGGGCTGGGTGCCGCGCGAAGAGGAGGAAGTAGCTGGCGGGGCGAGGCGCAGCAGCAGGTTCCTGCACAGTGACCCCGGTACCAGAGCACGACCCAGCCGCCTCCACGCCGGGACACGAGCCTGAGACCCAGGCCAGAGAGCCGCTCTGCCCCCCACCGGCGGGCGCTGCCCAGTGCAGGGAGCGGCAGCAGCTGCCCCGTCCCCCGGAAGGGGGATTTCCCCCGGCCCCAGCCCAGCGCCATGGGCACAGCCCGGTGGGGAGCAGCCCACCCAGGGCAGGGCGAGGAGAACAGCGTCCCGCCCTGGGATGCAGAGACAAGGTGCCATATTGCAGCAAGAGGGGTTCCCCACCCTGCCCCCCAGTCAGAGGGGTGGGGCTCTGCCCCCCAAACTGCCCCCACTGCAGCCCAGGCCTGCCGGCTTGGGGATCCCGCCTGCAGCCAGAGAGAGGAACAGCAGGTGCAGCTGAGCGTGCCCCAGGCCCGGGGCCGAGTCCCGGCCAGGTCAGCCCAGCCCCGGGCCTGGCTGTGTGTCTAGCCAGGGACGGCAGAGCCCGGCACCCGCGGCAGGGACCAGACCGAGGCCAGTGCTCCAAAGCAAGGCTTTATTACAGACCGAAAGGCACCCGCTGAGCCCAAACCCCTCGGCTGGCTAGAGATTCACACAGGCCAGTCACAGGCTGGGGCAGGGGGATACTGTCCAGGGGGCTGCTAGGGGGCCAGGCCTGTGCCATCCCCAGGTGCAGGGGCACAAGCTGTCGCATCAGGAGGCTCCGCCGAGCAACCCCCGGCCCCAGGCTGGATTTGCAGGGCCTCGCTGGTCCCCCTCGTCCGGAGGAAGCTGCTGCCACCAAGGGCCGCAGGGGGCCCCTCCCTGGGCAGGGGTCACGCTCGCTCCTGGAGCTCCGGGCTGGGCCGCCGCTGCAGGACCTGCTGCTTCTGGAGCCCCCGCAGCTTGAGGAGTAGCTCCTGCACGAAGGCCTGTGGGAGACAGAGGCTGGAAGCTGCCGAGCGAGCGCCGAGCATCCTTCCCCGTTAGCCCCCTGGGGGAAGGGCGGGTGCCCACCAGAGCAGAGACGCTCGCTCCAGCTGTTCCCACATCATCGCTCCTGCCCGAGGCTTCCCAGCTGTGTCCAACAGCTGGAGGAGCGGACACAGCCCTGCCCCGAGCCAGCAGCTCTCACGCCACCCAGCCCCTCGCTGCCTGGGAAACCCTGGGATGCCAGCTCCCGGGAGCCCCAGCGTGCCCATCACCGGGGCGTCTGGGTACCAGGCGTGGAGGTCAGTGCCGGAGGGCACTGGGGCTCAGGCTGCTGTGCGGGAGGGATTCCCTAAGAGAGCTGCAGCCCCACAGGGGGAGGGGCCTGGTCGCGGCAGACACAGCACCGACCCCCCCGGTGCTGCAGAGCCCGGAATACGGCCCAGCTCCCCCAAGCTCTTAGCCACAAGGCCAGATGGCCCAGATGTGCAGCAAGGGGGCCGCGGGCCACTGCTGGGTCTGAACGGGGAGCCCTGAACAGGGTTTGGTGCAGGGACGGTTGGGGGCAGGGCCGGATACCAGCCCTGGGCCTTGCACCCCCTGGTCCCTGGAGCTGCCTGCCCCACACCCAAGGCGCTAGAGGGGCCAGAGCTGCCTCCTGCGAGCAGCTTGCCCCCAGCCTGGGGGATGGGGCAGCTGGCCGAGCCGGAGATAAGTAGGGGTGGGGGAGGAAGCAGAGGGACGAATGTTTTTCCCTTTTAAAGTTCTGATCGGCGGCTGCGGCGGGGCCGTGATGCTCCGGAGCAAGCCTGGTCCCGTGGGAATCGCTGCCCGGGGTCAGGGCTTGGAACGCTGCGGCTGGAGCTGGCACTGGGCAGGGGGCTCCAGCCGGCTCCCTTCGGCTGGCTGGCGACCAAGCCCTTGGCCGGAGCTGGGCGGGGAGGAGATTCAGGGGCCAGCCCAGCGCCAGCAGCAGCTCTGGGTCCCTTTGCTGGGGCGGGACTGGGAGCTGTGGGCTCTCCCCGAGGCAGAGGGAGCCGGTGGCTGCAGGGCCCCCGTGGGCTGTGAATGAAGATACAGGCGCTGGAGTCCCGCCAGGACCGGAGCAGTGACGCGGTTGGGGTCTCGGCAACCGCCACTCACCTGTGTGTTGTTGTGACATGACTTCAGGATGCCCTGGAAACAGAGACAGACAGACCTGAGCGCAGTGCCCGGGGTCTCCGGTGCAGATCCACGCCCCGGCCCACACGGGACGATGGGACCTGCCAGCTCCAGGCCCTCCAGCCTGGTCCCCCGGCCCCAGCAGCCATGGGACAGCCCGCCCCAGGACCTGCCCCCCAGCTGGCAGGTGCCCTACAGCCGGGGGCTCGATCCTCCCCTGGACTCCGGCGGGAGCCCGGCACACCCAGCCGGCCTCCTGGGGCAGAGCCCTCCTCTCACTTGAGTGGAGCAGCTTCCCCCGTCCCTGTGATCTGGAGCGAATCCGGGGTAGGGGGCCTGACCCACAGCAGGTGCCGCAGGAGGCCAGGCTGCCTAGCTGCGCTCGAGGCCCAGTGGCGGAAGCACGGCCCATCGGCCCCCAGGAGAAAGTCTCTCCCTGGCCCCGTCAGTGCCGGCTGATTCTCTGCCTGAATCATGCAGCCCCGGGGGGCCCCGCCGGTCAAAGTCCCACACAGCTCGGAAGAGAAGCCACGGAACAAGCCTCTGACAGCAGCCGCTCCCCATGGCCAGCGCCGCCTGCGCACCACCTCCGTGGCAGGACAGAGCCCGGGCCATGCCCCACGGTCCTGCGGGCAGAGCACAGGGCCAGCACCCCCTGGACAGACAGGCCCCAGGCCAGGGCCCCGAGCTGCTGAGAGGGGATGGGGCTGGCCGGACCCCGGCACGTACCTGCAGCTGCGCGGCCCGCGCCTCGTCTGCGTCCAGCTCCAGGAGTTCATCAATGTTCACTTCATCCGGCATCTCTGCCTCCTGCAATGAGACGGGGCTCAGGAGCGGGGTGGGGGGGATGCGGCCTTGGGGGGTGGCCTGGGGTCTGAGCAGCCTGGACAGGCCCCCTCCCAGCTGCTCTGTGCTGGGGAGCGGATCCCATGCCAGCCCTGCCTAGTCCCCACAGGAGAGCCACGTGCAAGGGGCCCCAGCCTCACCCTGGGGCTCCCCCCGCCCCGCAGGGTCTCCCAGCGACAAAGCCGCCCTTGCCAGCTCGGGGAAACTCAGGCCAGAGGGTTCCTAGCTCCCGAGGCCGGAAGGGACCTTGTGCTCATCTCGGCCGACCCCCTGCACGGCCCAGGCCAGAGCCCAGAGCCCAGCCCCCCCAGTAACTCCTAGGGCAGAGCGGCTGCAAACCAGCCCCTCTCGCTCTGAACTGGGGAGCAATGGAGATTCCCCCCACCCACCCATCCCGGGGGAATTGTTCCGGGTGGGGGGGGGGATTTCTCTCATCGGAAATAAGGTGCAAACGTTTAAGAGTCGAACTCTGTCTCGCTTCATGTGGCTCGTCAGATCTTCAAGTATTTGTGCCCCGGGGCCCATAGCTGCTGATCGCCTGGGCTCCAGTTACCCCCAACCTTCTCTGTGTGACGCTACACGGAGCTCGTTCAAACCCTTTGCTGGTTCTCGCCTCTCTTCTCAGACCCCCTCCAATTGACCCACCTCCTCCGTGAGTTGTGGGCTCCCGAGCGGGATGCAGGACCCCAGCAGCGGTCGTGGGTTGGAGCAGGTGGCAGGAATTCGGGCTCCAGACCCAGATCTGCAGAAGCGCTGGACATCCCCAGAGACAGTTAAAGCCAGCGCCACCCAGCCCCGGAGCACCAGGCTCCAGCCCCTCTGGCAGGCGAAGCCGCGCCCTACACACATTCACGGGGGGCTTTGCCTCTCACGCCACACGGTGCCCTGCATGTGTGTGACGGAGCAGCGAGTGAGGCGGATTGACCTGGGAATGTTGCGCGGGAGTTTTATTGAGACTGTCGGCATTGGTGATGGGATACCAGGGCGACGATACCGGAGCATGTAACCTGAGCCCAGGAGGGGGGTTGGGGCCAGGTGACACCTTTTCCCCAGGAAACTGGACAAAGGCTGGGGGAGGAGCCGGGGGCGGTGGCCGGAGGAGACGGCTGGAGGGGTTTCGGTTTAGAGCTGGCTGGGGAAGCCGAGGGAGCCCCAAAGCTGAGGGATAAGCTCCCTACACCCCTGGGGACCTGATTGAGGGGTCCTGGTTGTACCTACGAGCACCGTTTGGACGGTGTTCCTGTCTAATAAACCTTCCGTTTCACTGGCTGGCTGAGAGTCCCGGTGAATCGCAGGAATTGGGGATGCAGGGCCCTGACTCCCCCACACTCCGTGACAATGTGACCCCAGGCCGGGCCCTGTTGTCACATGGGATCTCCTCCCTCCTGGCCCATCTGCTCATTCAGCACCAGGAAACGCCAGCAATCAGCCTGGGGCATGCCGGCTGCTTCCTGCCAGAGCCCGATACAGGAGCAGATGGCCCCGGTCTGGCGAAGGGAGCCGGGCCAGGCCCCGGGGCCCACGTCAGCAGGTCCGTCCTCACACCCAGTGCCACAGGACAGGGCCTGACCCAACAGCGCCCGCAGGGGCCGAGCCCAGCCCAGTGGGTGAGGGCAGAGGGGTTTTAATCCCCCTTTGTTCCCCCAGCTCTGGCAGAGCCCCCCCCCCGCCTGGCTGAGGCAGAGTCCCCCCACCCCCGTGCTCTCCTGGCATGGGGTCCCTGCAGACCTGCCGGAGCCACGCACCCCAGGGGCCAGCCATGCACCCCAGGTGAACTCGGGGCCTGCTAGAGCCTGCTCCTCCGCACACACACCCCCGCCACTCCCACCCCAGCCGGCAGCTTGCCCCTCCCTCGGGTCCAGGGCCAGGCTGCTCCGGATACGCCTGGTACAGAGCCCCATTGTCCTGCTGGCGCCCAGCGCTGCCAGGCTGTAAACCCCGTGCCCAGCACCCCCTGGCCCTACCAGTCACCAGATGGGCTGCAGGCCCCTCCCCCACTCCACTCCTTCTGGGCCATACGCAGTTCGGACTGACCAGCCCGCGGCTTGGGGGCTGCTCTGCAGGGACCTGCTGGTCCCCCCTTGCCAGAGCCAGTGTCCAGGTCCTGTGTTTCTGGAGGAGGGAAGGAAAGAGGCTCCCATCCCCCACCAGCAATCAGCCCCCAGGGGGAGGGGAACAATTCCTGACAATGGAACAGCTGTTCCCAGTCCCACCCCATCTGGCCTGGAGAAAGGCAGGCTGGCAGGGGATGGCCCTGAGCCGGGAATGCCAAGGGTTAAACCAGGATTTCCCCCCACACTTACAGCCAATGGGATCAAAGGCCCACCCCCCCCCCCCCCCCCCCGGTGCCCCCCCCCCCCCCCCGCTCTCCAAGCTGGGTCCAGGCCTACGCAGAGGCCGTGGGCAGTCAGAGAAAACTGGGCCGTGGCTCTAGGGAAGGGGCTGGGCGTTGCACCCGGGTTTACGGGGGATACCTGGGGCCGGCTCCAGCCCTGGGCAGGGTTAGCGGGAGAGCAAAGCGCACAACTCCCAGAGGAGACCCTGGACGTGAGCCGATTGCAGCAGGAGCCCAGGGCCCCGGGAGCAGAGAGGGCTGGGCACGGGTGCGGCTGGAACATGTCAAACGCCCCGCAGAGCAGGGGACCACCCCCAAACTCCACAGGGCACCAGGGAGCACATCCCCAGTGGGCAGAGCGTGTCGCCTCTCCCACTTTGGGGGCCAGCCCCCCTTCCCCCTTCCGAGCAAAGGATGTGAACGTGGAGGCGGCTGGGGAAGTCTGAGCCATGCTGCCAGCCACAGGCCACCCACGGTTCTGCTTCCTGCCGCGGCAAGCCAGCCCAGAGCACCTGCGGCCTTGCCCAGCCCGACATCCGCGGGGGAGCCAGCTGCCGGGTCGCCTCTGCCTGCCGGCCCCGAGAGATTGAGAGCTGGACGGGCTCCCCTGACCTGACGGGGGTCTCTGTGGAGTCCCCACGGCTTTCCCCTGCTGCAGGTTTGCAGCCATTTCCCCCCAAGCCGGCACCCAGCCGGAGCGCCAGGGGCCAGCCCCTCGCAGGCTGGGCAGCACCAGGCCCCATGTGCATCTGCAGAGCGCCCGGCCAGGGCGAGCCAGGAGCGGCCCCGCTGTCACAGCTCACATCCGGAGCGGAGCCTTGCTCGACTCCCTTCCAAACCGCTCCGAGGGCCGGTTCCCCCAGCGCCATGGAGCTGCCCTAGGGATCCCATGCTGGGGGCTGGTTTCCTCAGAGCCCTGGCACGAAGCAGGCGTGAGTTCTAGGGAATGGCCTGGTCTCGCCTGCTGGCCCCCTCACACCCCAGGCAGCCGTGTTAACAGCCACCTTCTCCAAGGCCTGTTCTACGCCGCAGTGGGGCAGACGCTGCTCTGGCGCAGCGGGACAAGGCTGCACCAGTGCACAGCTCATCGGCTCCAGGCGCGTGCAGCTCCCTCGGTGCGAGAAGAGCCCCGGGCGAGAGCGGCGATCTCCCTTCGCCTGGGAGGGAAACGCAGCTGGAGCTCTCCAGGCCGCCCGTGCCAGCCGCTTTCTCCTTTCATGGAAGGGTTGAAGCAAAGGAGAAAGTCTCCTATTTTTATAGCTGGAGATTCCTGACTCGCAGCACTTCCTGCTGCGGGTTCCCCAGGCCGGCCAGCCGGGCGGGGGCGAAAGTGCTTTAGGGTTTGGCCACAGAAGGCGACATTAAAGAGCACCAGCAAGGTGCATTTCAGGGCTCGGGGGCTTGGCCCCGATTCTGCACTTCCTTGGGCAGCCACGTCCGCCCGCACAGAGCCGAGCGGGGGCATTTGGCCCGGGTTCTGGCGTCCGCGTTGGGTGCGGGACAGCAGAGAATCAGGCCCAATATTCTGAAGCGCGAGACGCGGCTGCTCTTCCCCAGAGATCTGCTCCGCTTGGCAGACGCCCCGGCGCACGCAGCCCGACACGCTGAACGACCCCAGCAGAGACAGAGCCAACTTCAGCCTCTCTCCACGAGGGCCCGACCGGAGCTCGGCCGAAATCGGCTATTCCTAGCCCCAGAGGAAGGCAGAGGTGGGAGCCCAGGTCAGCTGGGGTGGGGAGGCACGTGCGGACTGCAAACCAGCCCCCCAGCTAGTGCCATTGCAGCATCGGGGCAGCCCAGGACGGGCAGCCCGGGCCAGGCGTTCTGCACAAGCACTGGTGCCCCGTGTGCTGCCACACTAGGAATTCAGTCAGTCACGGGGGAAACAGGCCGGAGAGACTCGCGTTTCACACACCCACACGCCGGCACCTGGCCCAGGCCCGACTGGGCGGCACTTGGGTCTTGCCCGGAGTCACTTAGGGGAATCAAACTGCCGATCTCACGGGGAGAGCAGGAAGACGTGGAGAGCGCGGCCAGCTCAGCCGAGCCGGGAGAGCCCAGTGCAGGGGCCCGACCCTCAGGCCAGGCCCTAGACTGGAGATGGCTCCAGGGGCTGGCAGAGCCCCAATTTGAGACCCCTTGCAGGGCCCTGACGACTTTCCAGACAGCACTGAGGCTGGGGCAGGCCTATTTAAGGGCCCCCCCACACTCCCTGGTTGCTTTGGAAAGTCGCCCCGAGCCCTTCCCAAGTTCTGCAGCCAGAGCAGCAAAGGGACCCACGGGGCAGCCGGGGACGCCAGCCGCTCTGCGGAGCCCCAAGAGAGGGAGGGAGCCCCGAGTCCCGGGTCTCCTCTGTTCCTTGTTCTCCTCCCGCACGCCGCAGACCCAGGGCAGCTGGGGAGTCCTGGTTAATCACGGCACCGGCCCAGCCCAAGGCAAAGGGTCTTGTCCAGCCTGTGGCCCCAGCAACCAGCCATGCAAGGTTGTGCCCCGTCACGGCCCCCGAAAGCAAAGGGCGTAGCCCAGGTGCCGGGCAACCATTAGCCTCTAGCTCAGACGCAGCCCTTCAAACCTCCCAGCCAGAGCCACCGAGTCAGCACAGAGCTCCCCACCCACGTCCCCGGGAGCAGCTGGGCACCCCATGAGCCGCAGGCTGCTGTCTGCAGGGGGGGTCGCAGCAGAGACCCCTCCCCCACATCGGTAACAGACCCCATGGCAGAGGGTGCCGCATACCCAGGGTCACCCCAGCACCGAGCCTGGGGCTCAGGGAACGAGGGACCCCGGCAGCAGGGGGAGCTCCCCGATCGGCCCAGGGCTCTGGGAGGGGAGTGGGGGCTGGTGGGTTAGAGCAGGGGGCCTGGGAGCCCGGACTCCTGGGTTCTCTCCCGGCTCTGGGAGCACAGTGGGGGCTGGTGGTTACAGCAGGGGGGGCTGGGAGCCCAGACTCCTGGGTTCTCTCCTGGCTCTGGGAGGGCAGTGGGGGCTAGTGGTTACAGCAGGGCAGGGGAGCGGGGCTGGAAGCCCGGACCCTGGGTTCTCTCCCGGCTCTGGGAGGGCAGTGGGGGCTGGTGGTTACAGCAGGGCGGGGAGGGGGACTGGGAGCCCGGACTCCTGG